AGCAGGGCCTTGATCAAGTCTACAGGGAAAAATCAAAGTCAGTACCAATATGCAGCCATGTTCTGGAAGGTTGATGAAATGGGTGAATCAACCAATATCCAACTCTGTATAAACTATATCGCTATATGCCATCACGCTTTACTCTTTTGATAAATGCTGTCGCCGAAAAGTAGCGATCCACTGTTCGTTATCAGCTATAGTCTGTTCCCAGTTATCATCATTGCCATACACCAGCCTCCTTGCCTCGCCCTGGAACATCTCGTCCGTTGGAAAGACACCACTCGCGAAGGACTGTTGAGCAAAACGACCCAAATGCCACGCTAGAAACTTGGTGTAAGAATCAGGGGTTAAGTCGAACCCGGGATCGAGCTGTTGCTCGGGATCCGGGACAGTCTTGCCATTCCTCTCTTCTATCTGAGCCAAATGGTCCGGCACCGTTGGATCCGTGGCGGAAAAAGGCACCATGGTTAAAGCCTCGTTTGCAAGGAGGTATGGCGGCAGCGCGTTTCTGACCTGTGCAGCGATCAAGGGTTCGAAATCGTGATCGCCTTTCCAATCTGCCATTGTTTTTCCCTGGCGGAAATGCTGTGTGAGGTGGTCGGCACGGTCTTGCCACGACGTGAGATGCTGGTCGCAGAAACCGCATCGCGAGGAGATCGGGGGAGGCGGTATCCTCCAGTCATCCAAGATGGGCAGTGTATCTAGCTGATGAAACCCACGGAGATGCTGAATGAGGTTGTCTTTACGCCTGAAAATATGCGGCTGTTGACCATTATGACATGCGTCATGGTTATGAGAGTTTAGGTGATGTTCAGTAGGATCAAGGATATTGCAGTATGCACATGTACTCCTGCCAGTTAATGACGATACCACTGCACCACCGTAAGGTGCACAAATCCACTGGTCGCAGTCAAGATGGAGCGTCTTTTCGTGTCTGGTCCAGTCGTGCTTCTTGGAGAACGAATCGCAACAAAATGTGCAATGGAAGATTCGAGGTTTCATATTGGTACCAGCGACGTCAGTCCTCCTCTTCGTGACTCGTCTTCTGTGGCGATTCTGGAACGAGCGAGACGATTGGGTAGAGACAATTGAGCTTGAAGATTGACTGTGCCAACTGGCCACGCTCGGACTTGATGATTCCATCCTGGTCAAAGGGGCTTGGATGCTATCGCCCAGAGGATTTCCTTGCAATGTATCATAAATAGCGGACCAAGATGCCGGCTCGGTTTCTGGAGGGCTATTTCTCCATCTCTGCAAGGGCTCGGAGGCTTTCTCACTTGCGTCGTAGACAGGAATATGAATGCTCCGTCCACCATTCAGTGTATGTCTGAGAGAATAGCGACTTCTGCGGCGTGGAAGAGTCGAATTTGGGGTGATGGGAATGGGAGGATACTGGGGAATCGTTGAGTTATCCGTCTTGGGGCGTTCCTGAATCGCTGGAGATGAAGTACTCAAGGCCCGCGGCATATTGTAAGAAGTGAACATGTCGCTGTTGGAGTAATCCTGGATCTCTTGCTGGCCCCATGAACCTCGGCTGGATGTATGAATGTGATCGAGCAGCAAGTTGCCAGCAGCCAAGTCTGGGCAACCAAAGGTCAGGTCATCCAACGATGTCTGATCAAAGTGCAATCCAGTACCGCCATCTAAAGTAGGAAGTAAATCGTCTGAAAAGTTGGTCCATGATTCAGGGGGGACCTGGTTGCTCTGTTGCCAGTGGAACCCATCATCCTGGGCTCCGGCTGGATGCGCCACGGCGCCAAAAGACGTCCAATCCCCACGATTGGCATCGCAGACTAAACTTGGTTGCGAACGCGTCTGGCGAGGTATTCGCCGCGAGCTCATGTTTTCTCTTGAGTAGTTTGCGGAGGTACGAAGTGTAAAAGCACGAGAATGGGACTTCAAAAAAACGGGTAGTGAGGAATGACCACTACAGCGGGGCTGGGTTGATCCGATTGCGGCGGGATAACAAGACATGACTTGTGGGCATGACCATCTACGCTAATTGTGATAGTGGGAACTAACCTCCGCAGCTTGAACTAGGCGACTGGCTGAGGTTCAGTCTCTCAAATATTTCCATCTTTGTTGATATTCGATTTTAGTAACTACCGCCCTTTTCGGTATTCTCTCTTCCTTTAGCAGTATCAACCTCCTGCGCCATAATGAATTGCAACGATGTGAAGTCAGTCGCCACATGAATCATATCGAACCCAGCCTTGGCATATTCTCTCGCTTGCTTGCCAGCCGTACTGTAGATTCCACATTTCTTGCCAAACTTGTGGCTCACCTCCAGCACACGTGCAAGCGCATCTGTCAATTGTGGTTTAAAGACGCCTTGTATGATAGGATGGCCGATATTGTTCCCTATAATTCATGGGTTACTGCCCATTCTACTGCAACTTCGGTGCTGTACAACGAACCTAAATCGAATGGTCCCACGAATAGTACATCAACACCGTCAACAGCGGCAATCTCATCCAAGTTATCAAGGGCCTCTTGGGTTTCGATCTGTACTATAGTAAGAAGACTGCTGTTCGCTTGCTGGAGATACTCGGTCATTGTTGGCATGGGGCTGAATCGTTCCATTGCATACAGCGAGCCGAATCCGCGCGTGCCTTGTGGAGGGAACTTGGCCGCCTTGACAATTTCTCTGGCCTCTTGCGCAGTGCGAAGCAAAGGTACCAGGATCTTACATATCTAGTCAGTGTCCGGTCGAATCTAGGTGCCGCTGATACTCACCCCATGGGCACCCGAGTCCAAAGCTCCTGTCTGCTGTAAGTAGAATGGTCACGTTGGTGCTCTTGGCTGGTTTATCTTACTCTTGATCATCCATGATTCCATACCAGGAATCCTCACTATCGGAGATGCACCAGCTGCGGCAACAGCAGGGACCGCGTCGTGCATAGCACTGTCTAATATCGCATTCTCAGTTTCGCAGAGCAATCGGCAGATATGGCCCGATACTCACCATCGAGATTACCGTGCTCACAATCGATCACCACCCAGTCGACGCCTGGCACGCGGGCAAGGGCGCGCGACACGTTGGCGCCAGGCACCATCTGCCAGAGTCCCATGCTCGGGCCATCAGCTCCCTGAAGCGCCGTTCTGAGGAAGTTTCCTTGTTCCATCATAGTGATCGAGCAGGTAGGAAAAGAATCAGGGTAGGCGGTTGAAGAGTTGGCTCATTGAACAGATTAGAAATGGCGGGGTATTGTGAGGCTATAGCTTGGCACTTCAACCGGTCCTTTGCCATTGGTTCCCACATACCGGAAAACGTTCCGTTGTTATCGAAGATCCGAAAAAATCTTTCCAGGCGTCTTCAGGCGCAAAGCTTGGTAGGGCTCAAGGCGCAGGGCTAGGCAAGATTGGAGCAGTGTGGGGAGGGGGTGTATATAGCAGTTCCTAATGTATGAGATGTCCTGACTCTAAAGATAAGAGTATTCCTAAAGCTATCGCGATTTCTGAGTAAAAGCCGTTTATGGTAGGAACTGGAGAGTAGCATAATTTTAAGACAGGACTTCATGATAATCTAGAAAGGGCTGCCCACAAAGTATGAAGGAATATGTGAAGTAGAAAATCACGCTCATAGTGGAGACGACACTGGATCTGTTTGGTCACAAGACCAGTTGGACTCTCCCCTTCCATTGCTATCTACCACATCGGAGATGAAGGGTCCAATCCAATTCAGAGGTCTCTTCTACACAAAAGGCGAATTTGGGATAATGAACTAAACCTGTAGCGAGGCGCAATCCATCCTCTTCAGTCATATCTCGCACCCAGGTCTTCTTCACTCCTTCTAAAGAGTGCCGTTTGCACGAGCACCCAACATTGTATATGCCTAGTTCCGCACTTGAGAGCTAAAGCTTGCAACACGCCAGCAAAATCATCAACTCCATTCGGTCAAGTCCGCTGAGCACGGCGCAAGGCGGAAGGGGCCTCTGCTCGAAAATGAAGTACAGCATCAGTGCAATCACCACAAATCATTACCTAGTCGATGTGCATGCTAATCACTGACTTTGCCTTCAAATCAACGGTAGTATCTCTATAGTAAAATAAAAAATGTGCAGTGAGTGGAACAGATAGTGAGCAGCTAGCTAGCCCTGGAGCGAGTCCTAGAGTGGCCTTGTCCTCATTATTGACGTGCAGCTATGTGTCTAGGACCAAAAGAAGAGCTAAGTCTTGGCTCGAAAAATGGTTTTACCCCAAATATGGCTACCCACGTTATGGGTGGAACATCGCTTAATAGCGCAGGGGGTACAAACTTCTGAAGATGGCTAGACATAGATATAGGGCATGCTTTCGTGCGCCCGTCAGTACATATTGTCATCAACATAACCTTCAGCTTCACGCATCAAGCTCCTTACCCTAAACTTCAGTCACCATCATGCGGTCCCAAGACCACGGCTCAGTGTACAATCCAAGAACCCTTCCAGACCACCCACCCGCAAGTTTCCACTATGGACGAGGGTGTCCTGCGCGGAGAGGTTCTCGATCTTAACAAGCAAAAGACGATTGAGGGTGAGAATCATTTCAACTGTCTTGGCTGGAAGTGCATGACAGCCGTACTCATTATGAAAGGCATTGCCCTTGGCGTCTCGAGTTTGCCAAAAGCCTTTGTGGTTCTATGGATGGTACTAGGACTTTAATTGAGAGTAGTGCAAGCTGCATTGCTGCATTGCCTGCTTAAATGGCAGATAGTTAAGGGTTCTAGATAACATTATTGCGGTACTCTTCCGTCTTTATTCCGCATCTGTCCATAACTAGAGAAATGCTAGTCGATCGTAATTTCCACCCTATTCTAGTTTGTTAAGCTAAAACCAAAGTTATTATCTAATTGGCTTACCAAGTTTCACTCCACTTTAATACAGCAAGCTTATTAAGAACAGCCTACTTGGTGGCCAATGCTACATAACTCACAAACTACCGGATTATTTTCTCTCCTTTACATCTAAACGCAGGACTATTTTACACTACAGAAAGCCGTATTTACCAGGCCGGTAATCATGCGTGTAATAACAACCTTAGCTCTAGCACTTGCTAAACTCGCCAGTCTAGCTACTTGCAACTCCAAATTTATTCAACCTCCAGAGTCAACCGGCAATGACATATCGCAAAACAAACGTTACAAGGTCGGAGATATGGTCCAGATCGAATATGAAACAGATATAGATCAACCTGCTATCGAATTAAATCAAATTCCTCTGAATGGGGTCAGCGCCCTCGAGTCGCTACCTAGTATGGCATGACATTCGCTTATGGCAGTTATCTTATTAACTCGTGCATGTAGGAAATGGCTCGTCAAATCCAAGTTACTGGATTGCAGAGTACGATTCTCTTGGATTAGCAGAAGATAATAAAGATTCTGTATACTGGTTTACTCTCTACAAGTCCAGTAAAGGCCGAATTGCTCGATCAGAATATTTTAACGTCAGCTCACCGAACGCTGAGACTACATCTGCTGGCGTCTTAGCAACATTGACCTCAGCACAACAAGAATCGACATCGACTACGGGCCCAACATCAGAGATGAAAGCTGAATCCACCACAATCAGCTTGCCTTCAGATGAAAGCACAAGCACAAGCCCGAGCGACAAGACAAACTCGGGCTCGGGGTTATCTACCGGAGCGACGGCAGGTATAACTGCTGGTGCGATAATTGGCGGTCTATCAATTCTGGGCGGTATTGGATACTTCGTTTGGAGGAGATCAGGAAAAGGCAAAAACAATACTGGAACAGAGGGGGCTCAAGATCAACAGCATCAGTTTTATGCCTTGGAAACCAAAGTTGAGCTACCTAGCGACATAACCACTCATCCTTCAGAGTATGCATCAAGCCGCCCAGGACTCCATGAAGCACCTTAAGTAAGGAAAGCATAAGAAAAATTAATAAGAAAGACTGGTAATTATAATAATCTTATTTATTAGTTGGCATGCTTAGAGGCAAAGCTTAACTAAAGAGGGAGCTAAAGATCTTTTGTTTTATGTATCCTCTGTATGGGAGATAATGGGGTTATTACTCTTAGCTGTGTTTTAAGCTTTATAAAAATTGACATTTATTCTCTCTTGCCTTATCTCTAAATCGTGTTCTGTATAAATATTGCACATAAGACTCAGTTTCTGCCAGGACATAAAATTGGTATTATAAAACCTGTAAGGCTACTGGCGGTTATGGTTTATTAGTCTGCCTGTATATTATATAGCCAGGTTCTTCTATCTATCTTATTAGGTTAATTGTTTTTAGAACGAATTTTCACTCTTTAGGCCACCTTTATACTATAAAACGAATGAGATAGAAAATGTAATAGTGATATACAATTTTAAGCCTATTAAATAGAATTATTACCTTATCTTTATAATTACTTACTTATTAAAGTCTAATAATTATATAATGTCCTTAACTAAGCTATTAACTCTTTTAGTGTTAAAGTTATTAAGACAAGATTAATAAGCCTAATAGCTATAAGTAAGTTTAATTTAAGATATATATAGAAATATTAAAATAAAAAGTAAGAAAAAAGAAGTATAGGCTTATAAGATAATAAAGTAACTATAAGACCTAGTATAATAGCAGCCTGTTATAATAGTTAGGTCTAACTGTATTAAACTAAGCCATGCTTAAGTTTATTATTAGCAGATTATATAAGGTATAATACTAAGCGGTTATTAAAGTATTATATCTCTTAATAGTAATTTAATATATATTAGGCTTAATTAATATAAAGAAGTTTTATTAATAGCTAGTAAGCTAAGTCTATAAAAGTATAAATAAGTATAAGCTATATATTACTATTTATAAGGTATTTATTAGTACTTTTATTAAGGATTAAAATATTAATTATTTAATTTTAAATTAATATTATAAAGCTTTAATTCTATTTTAATTAATTAAATTTAATAGATTAAAAAGAATCTATTTAATTTATTTATAATTAATAAAGTTTATAGAGAATTTTATAGAGTATATATAATATAACTATAAGAGTTATAATATAATCTCTTCCCTTCTTTAGGTCTTATCTTTAAGATTATACTTACTTACTGTTTTTATTAACTTATATTTATAAGTATTAACTTAAACTTATTTTTATTTATATATATCTTATTAATTATTATATTAAGTTAGGTTTTTAAGAAAAAATATATAAAGACTTTTAAATTTAATACTTTTATATAATATATTTATAAATTTAGCAATTTTATTATATTATATTCTTATTACTTTTATTATAGTTTTATATATAAGGCTATAGATAAATAGTCTTATTATTATAGTAATTATATAGATATAAAAATAGTTTATAATAGTTTTAGTATTAAATCTTTTTATAAGTTTATTTTTAGTATTATACTTAACTTATATTAATGCTATAGTTTTAAAAAATATAAAAAAGTATAAGAAATTAAAAGAAAATAAATAAAAAGCTAAAAAGGCTTTTAAAGAGGCTATAGTATATTTAGCTTGCATTTATAAGATAAAGCGTTATCTTAAGGAATAGGGTAATAAGTTATTTTCCTATAAGATATAGTCTTTAAAGGAATAGGGTAGTTTTTTTATTAATTAGGCTAAGTTATTAATTATTTTTAAGGCTTAGTTTTATAGCGCTATAGACTTAATTAATTAGAATTTAATTTTAATAGATATTCCTTTTATTAATTTAGCTATTTTTAATAGAACTTCTTTAAGAGTTATTAGGTATTAATAAGGTATTTTAATAGTTTTTATATATTTTTATTTTTTAAATAGTTTTTTTATTTTATTAAATATTCTCTTTAACTATTATTTTTATATATATTTTAAATAGCTTTTACTTTATAGACTTCTAGTCTTAAGATTTCTTATAGTTTATTGCCTATTTTAATTTATATTATACCTAACCCCTAAATTGGCAGTAATATAGGGCATGCTACTATTTAGGGTAGGGCAGTAATTAGCTAAGAAAAGTAAAGGTATTTATATTATTAGGCAGCTATAGTACTATCTAAATAAAGACTAATAAGGAAGTACACTTTAACCCTAAATAGGGCTTAAGGCCAGATACTAGCTTAAGCTATAAATTAAAAAGGCTAGATAAAGTAAAAAGATAAGTAAGTAAGTAATCTATTAATATATATATATATAATATAGATATAGAGAAATTAGTAAAGTAAAAAGGCTAAATTGCCCTAAATAAAAAGGCTATAGGTAATATAGATTAAAGTATTAATAAGAAAAAAGGCAGCTTAATTTAAATTAATATACTTAATATTAAATAGGTTTTATATAGATAGCTAGCTAGCTAGCTATCTATAAAGCAGGCTAAATTACTAGAGGTAAGTATAGCTAGAAGGAGAGAGAGAGAGAGAAAGAGAGAAAAAGAAAAAAAAAGAAAGAGAAAGAAAGAAAAAAAAGAGGCTAAAAAAGGCAAAAAGAAAGCTAAAAAAGAGAAATACCTAAAAAGACAGTAAAGAAGAAAAAGCCTATATAATAGAGTTAAACCTTTAGCCTTAATATTACTACCTTTAACCTATAATTAAACCTTTTATTAACTTTATTATATAGGCTCTTTTAACTTTATAATCTTTTTTAGCGTTTTTACTAAAAGCCTTTATAATTTTAGGCTATATACCTTTCTTCTATCTTTAGGCCTTTATATATAGCAGCTAGGCCAGGTTAGGCTAGATTTTATAGGCTATAGCCTAGAGAGTAGGCTATTATATTACTATACCTTATTTTTAGTTACAGTATAGGGCAGGTATATTAGGTTAGGCAGAAAGAAAGGTGCTATATATATTATATATAGTAAGCTATATATAGCCTTTTAAAAGTATAGCTTAAGCTATTAGCCTTAATATATATTTATATATTAGGCTATAGCCTAAAAAGGCTAGCTACCTAAAGGTAAGGTAAGGCCTAAAATATAATAAGCTATAAGGTTAGTTTATAATATTTTAAAAATATAGTTTAAGCTATTAGCTTTAATATTTATATATTAGGCTATAGCCTAAAAGGGCTAACTGCCTATAAAGGGAGGCCAGTATAATACTATTATATATATATAGTAATAAGTAGTTTAATTAGTAATATCTAAAAGGGGCTTAGGGTTAGGATAGGGTTAGTATTAACTATTTAAGCTATCTTTACCTTTTAGGTTTTTTCTAGCTAAAATCTAGCTAATAAGTAAGAGAGGAGATTTTTCTAAAAAAAGAGATATAAAGAAGTAAGGAAAGAAAAATAAAAGAAAAAGCTAAAGTAAGGAATATAGCTAAATAGCTAAAAGGAGATATAAAATAGCTAAAAAGAGATATAGCTAAAAAGCTAAAAAGAAATATAGCTATAAGAGCTAGAAAGAAATATAGCTAAGAAGCTAAAAAGAGATATAGCTAAAAAGCTAAAAAAGAGATATAGCTAAAAAGCTAAAAAAGAGAATATAGCTAGATAAGCTAAGTAAAAAGAGGTATAGGGCTAAAGTGGCCTATAAGGGGCCTAAGGGGACCTCCTAAAGGTATTCTAGACTGACCTAACTAGGCCTGTAGGGATCTCTTTAGCTATAGAAGCTGCTGAGA